CAGGGCAGAAAAGCTGAGGGCTGATTGCTGCTGGCCTCCCCAGAAGTCAATTCTGGGCTCAAGCATTTCGTTCTCAAGCTGGTCCCGGCTCCCTCGGCCACTGCAGACCCAGCCCACGTGGCCTCACGTGAATGGAGAGAGGCGAACCGGAGGCTGTCCTTGGAGAGATGCAGCGACTCGGCCAACTCATTCGCTCGCTCCCCCACTTGGCCGTTCACTCATTCGGCACTTACTCACTCTCCCCTCCAGAAAGCATGCCCCGAGCACCTGGACGACAGAAAGGATGCTCTGGGGTAGACAGCAGAGGTGAAAGTAGCGGGTTCCTGGCCTCGAGCAGTGCCTGGGGCACAGGGCGCAAAGGGCTCGGCGGGCGGGACGTGCTCGAGAGGCCCACGCCACGGGTGGGACTGCGCCCCCGCGTCCGTCCTGTGCCACCCGGGCCTCATCCCGGGCGCTAAGCGTGGTCTCGGCTGACGGCGCCCATCCCGCCGAATCCCCTGGGTGAGCGTGTTCTTGGCTGCGGGTTGGGGTAGTCCCCGGGCTGGGTGCAAATGCCAGCAAGTTGAAGCTCTGTTTAGGCTTTAAAGCCTCCTAATGGGTTTTCAACATTTACACTTGTCTTATTAACACCAATTGCTGAGACCCGGCCCTGGCAACCGTGCCGGTCATTTTATAAATACTGTCAGCGCGGAAGGTCACCCGCAGTTCTCAGCAGCGCCAACATTCAGGTTTGCAAAATAAAGTTTGAAATACATTCCCTGGGCAGAAAAAGGTACCTTGCAAATAGAGCTGCGAGGTTTGCCCTTTCAGGGGTGCCTGTTTTCGCTCAGGCCCTGCAATAAAACTTTAGGGGCTCCCCGACCCTTTAAATCACGCATGTGAACGTTTACAGCCGGGATGTGCCAGGACGCGGGAGGCCCGGGGGCGAGACGGGGTCGCCGCTCAGGCCTGTGTTTGAAGCGTGATGGATGTTGTTTCTGCGAGGACGTGGCAACTGGCTGTGGGCAGAGTTATGGGCGCTGGGAACGGGGAGCCGGGGAGCCCTGCGCCTCTCCCTGTGCCCCTGGAGCGCAGCTCTCGGGGCATAAACAGAAATGTAATATGGCCTTATATGGTCACAGAGCCGAGTCATCACTCGCGAGGCCTCTCTGCCTTCGACTGTGCGAGAAAGGACCAGGCGGCGGAATGCGGGGGCTGCCTGGGCGGGCCCTGCGGGGGCTCCAGGACCCCCATTTGGATGCAGCCCCTGGGGCCTGGTGCTGACAGGCTGCTTATGCCCGGTCAGGGCTGTTGTCTCCGAATCTGGGGCCCCTGGAGAACCCCTGTTTCTTTGCAGTTTCTGTGGAGTCACCCAGGTCTTAAACAGAAGAACCAGTTGTCTGGAAGCGGAGCGGGATGGAGGAATGGGAGGCGCCCCCACATTTCAGGGAGGTCAAGAAATGCACCAAACACGGGCGGGAAAGCAAAGCGAGGGGTCCACTGTGGCCACGGTCCCTGGGAGGCCAGGCTTTGGGCTCAGCGCCTGCCACAGGCCCTGACAGAGAAGTGAGGTGGCTCCGGGGCTCATGGAGGAGGGTGGGCCGTGGACCATCGGCTTCCATTGGAGGGAGGTTGGCTGGGGTCCTGGGGCTTGAACCCAAGCCCATGACAGCTACACAGAGGACGCCCCTCTCCTCCCAGACAGCCCCGTGAAGTCCTCTTCAGAGCCAGTAGCCTGAGCCTCCTGGCCCAGGGACAGAGCACTCATCCTACCCATCTGGGGGGGGGCTGGCCTTGTGGGAAGGGTGGCCGTCCCCGGAGGGCGTCCTCTCAGTCCCACTCTCCGTGCCCGGGCGTCCCTCCCGGGGCTGATCTGAGCTGGACCGGACACTGAGTCACAAGGAAGTGAAAACACAAAGGGGCTGTGACTCAGCGGGTGGCCCAGAGTGGGCAGGAAGCCCCCGTGCACAACCTGGGGGTGGGGTGGGGCCAGGCTGACATTGGAGGACCCTGGGCTGGGGGGCACTAGGCAGGGCCACACAGGCCATGCGGTGGAGTCTGGCATTTTTCAGCTGAAAAGGTGAGTTCTGGGGAGGAAGGTGGCCAGGTCTTGAGCGGCCCTCCAGTGTCACTCTGGCTGCTGCCCGGCTCCCGTCTGCGGGACAGTGCCAGGAGTGCAAAGGTGCCCGGGCTGCCCGTTTCCTGTCCTGGTACCTGCTGCCTCGAACAGGTGAAACTCGGGAAAGAGGCCACCTGGGGTCCCCTGTAGCTCGAGGGGCCATGCCGTGGGCAGGTTTTACTCCCCTACACACAGGTGTCCTCACCTGTTGAATGGAGATGTGATGGGACATCTTCAAGCCCAAGCGAGTGAGAGGCCTTAGGACACGGCTTGTGCAGGGCCGCCCGGTGGGCGGCGGGGCCGGGGGTGCTCTTAGCGCAGACCCCTGCGCCCCCGGCCGCCACATCCAGAAACCAGCCAGGCGGCCTTGGGGACGGCAAAGGGGGCGGAGGGTAGTTTTCCGTGGGCTTCCCACTGGCCCTTCTATAAATCTCATTTTCTCCTCAGATGTTGATGCCAACCTGGCCCATCTGGCCAGTGAGAAAAGTGACACCTGAAGAAGCTAAGCGACTTGGCTGAAGCCACGAGGGCCTGGATCCGGGTCTCCGGGGCCGGCCTCAGCGTCAGGACCCTGGGGGTGTCTGAGCTGGGGAAGCCAAGGCCACCCCCCCAACCCCCGCGACCAGGCTGGGCTCCTTCTGGGTGAGGAGACGAGGCTGGGTCTCCAGAAACATCTTTGGAAAGTTTAACAAATTCCCCTCATTAAACGATTAAGGGGGGGGGGACAGGTGCGATGTGAGCATCTGATCTGAGAGTTGTTCCTCCTTCAAAAACCCTTCCGATAGCTGAGAAGAGTGGATTGTGTTCTGCCCATTAACCTTGAGCCCCAGTAACCGCTTTCTGGCACATTACGCGGTTATTTTGCATTGTCGGCAAGAACGCCCGGGGCGGCGGGGTTGGCGGGGTTGGCGGGGTTGG